TTTACATGATAGGTCCCCTTTAAGTTAGCGATCTATTTTACAAGTTAGCTTAACTTAGCTACATACTTTACAAGTAAGCTTAAGTTAGCTACATACTTTACAAGTAAGCTTAAGTTAGCTACATACTTTACAAGTAAGCTTAAGTTAGCTACCTACTTTACAAGTTAGCCTGAGTTAGTTACCCACTTTACAAGTTAGCTTAACTTAGTTACATACTTTACAAGTAAGCTTAAGTTAGCTACCTACTTTACAAGTTAGCTTCCTACTTTACAAGTTAGCTTAAGATAGCTTCCTACTTTACAAGTAAGCTTAAGTTAGCTACCTACTTTACAAGTTAGCTTCCTACTTTACAAGTTAGCCTGAGTTAGCTACCTACTTTACAAGTTAGCTTAACTTAGTTACATACTTTACAAGTAAGCTTAAGTTAGCTACCTACTTTACAAGTTAGCTTCCTACTTTACAAGTTAGCTTAAGATAGCTTCCTACTTTACAAGTAAGCTTAAGTTAGCTACCTACTTTACAAGTTAGCTTCCTACTTTACAAGTTCGCTTAAGATAGCTTCCTACTTTACAAGTTAGCTTAAGTTAGATACCCACTTTACAAGTTAGCTTCCTACTTTAGAAGTTAGCCTGAGTTAGCTACCTACTTTACAAGTTAGCTTCCTACTTTAGAAGTTAGCCTGAGTTAGTTACATACTTTACAAGTTAGCTTCCTACTTTACAAATTAGCTTAATAGCTACCTATTTTACAAGTTAGCTACCTATCTAACAAGCTCTCTAGCCCACTCCCTACTTAGTCACAGTCGTATTAAGGTATCTCAGTTTTGCTATAATCTATATTCCATCAATGTTTACAGTAAATAAGCAAATGCTGCTCAAGCCTCTGCTAATTAACACGATCAATATTTGTTTTATTTTTCATGCAGACTCACTTTTGAGAAAACTCTGATATCGAGAGACTTCTGAATGCAGTATTAGAACACGCCTAAAACCAAGGAGGTTGTTGAATTCATATTTCATTAAATCTCCAAACGTGACCTTGTGAAGCTGCCTGTCGAGTTAAACTACGTACGGGAGTTATTGGGATTCAGGACGCTGCCAACCCTTTGCAAACAGAGAAGAGATGAACATAATTTTAACACAGAGCCTCGTAGCAATGCTGGAGTGTTAAAGCAAAACAAAATCAATGCTTGCTCATTTTCCATCGGCAGGTTTCTCTTCAGTAGTCAATGAATGCATTATTCAAATGACACCCTCCTAACTTGAGTGTAAACAGGGCATTAACCTCCCTGCACTCTTATCATAAAGCCTGGTGGAATAGACGCCAATCCTCAATTGAATTAATCCTTTTCCCCCTCTTTCATAAGAAGAAAGAAATATTTTACCGCCCTCCAGGCTGTATTTTACGACATAATTAAACAGTGTTGTTAAGTTTGTCCAACACCTCCCACTGGTAGCAATTCAAACCCTTTGGCTGATTCTCAAGTAGTGAATGATGCCTCACTTCAGGCTGTATATTGAGTCACCGCAGCAGAAAAAGCAAAGTACAACATGTGACCTCGACTGTCTGATAGAGTTGGACATTATGAAGGGATCAAGGTGACCAAACAGCATGTCTTAGTATTTACCTGCAGTTACATCATCATGTAAAACATGTGCGGCAGTGTTTTTCCAGTTTAGCACTAGCAGCATTGTGAAAACGACATTTCATTTGGGATTGCAGCTACAGTGCGCCTATGTAATGTTTTCACAGCTTCCATCCTCTGTTAGAGGCTGCAGGATGAGATACTGGCCCTAAATCTCATATTAGCACATTTGAATAACTCTCTAGTGTCTCTTGGCTCTGCTATGACACACTATCAAAGGTAGCGAAGCACACCGGCTGCTAGAACTCCAGACTAAAGCTCATGTTGACTTAAAATGCAAAATAACTCTCACTGCAAGGTGGGGAGATAAAGGTTTACAGAGTTTAAATGTATAACAAAAGAGACCCCAATAAATTACCTGTCAGTGTGCAATTGAGCTAGAAAACCTTAGCTATATATGTAACAAGCTAACGAGCAAACGTTATCCATCTACTGTACTTTACTTCTTAGTGAGCTTACGTTAGCTATCTATCTAAAAAGCTAGGTAATGAATGTTAGCTAGTATTTTAGCTTAGCATAAGACAAATAACCTGATCCACAAAGGTAGAGAACAAGAGGAGCAGTTACAATGTTTTCATACACTGAACAAAAATATAAACGCAACACTTTTGTTTTTGCTCCCATTTTTCATGAGATGAACTCAAAGATCTAAAACATTTTCTATTTACACAAAATAACCATTTCTCTCAAATATTGTTCACAAATCTGAAAGAATCTGTGAGAGTGAGCACTTCTCCTTTGCCGAGATAATCCATCCCACCTCACAGGTGTGGCATATCGAGATGCTGATTAGACAGCATGATTATTGCACAGGTGTGCCTTAGGCTGGCCACAATAAAAGGCCACTCTGAAACGTGCAGTTTTGCTTTATTGGGGGGGTCTGGGGGGGTCCGAAAACCAGTCGGTATCTGGTGTGAGGGGTAGGGGTAGGGGTAGGGTTCGGGTAATGTTGTGAATCGAGTGGCCCATGGTGGTGGTGGGGTTATGGTATGGGCAGGCGTATGTTATGGACGACGAACACAGGCCACTCGATTCACAACATTACCCTAACCCTACCCCTAACCCTACCCCTACCCCTAACCCTACCCCTAACCCTACCCCTCAAACCAGATACTGACTGGTTTTCGGACCCCCCCAGACCCCCCCAATAAAGCAAAACTGCACGTTTCAGAGTGGCCTTTTATTGTGGCCAGCCTAAGGCACACCTGTGCAATAATCATGCTGTCTAATCAGCATCTTGATATGCCACACCTGTGAGGTGGGATGGATTATCTCGGCAAAGGAGAAGCGCTCACTATCACAGATTCTTTCAGATTTGTGAACAATATTTGAGAGAAATGGTTATTTTGTGTTTATAGAACATGTTTTAGATCTTTGAGTTCATCTCATGAGAAGTGGGAGCAAAAACAAAAGTGTTGCGTTTATATTTTTGTTCAGTGTATATTCAGGCTACAGATGATATGCTTTTGTTATACCTTCATTTTAGGCCTATGAGTTTCTTAATTGACGTGTAAGAAACTGTAAGCATCTCAGCTTTGCTAGTGTCTATAGGCTACCATACATTTTACAGTAAACTAAAATGAATTATACATACAAGTAGATATTTAAGGGTAGATAAGGCCTAGAATAGATCAACAGGTATCTCTTGCTAATGATCTGCCTGTCCATCTATCACGACCAGTTCCTCAAGAAAAATATCAATACAAATGTATTATAGTTATAAAAACGAGTAGCCTATATGTGACTTTAAGGTAGTTAGTCATTTTATTCCACTCTAGTCAACAAAAACTGAGATAGCATTAGTGTGCTAAGCTAGTAGAAGGCTTTTCATCATTTATGGTATATTTTTGGTAATATTGAAGCAGGACAGGATATCAGAGCTTGAAATACTTCTTATATAATATCTAATATTACCACCGATTCACACTTACACAAGAGAAGACGTACTCAAAAAGTTGGTGAATTGTTCAGGCTAACATCCCACTTTCTAGTTTTATTCACAGGGCCATCTTCACACCACGATCACATTTTAAAGCACTTTAATGTAATAATCAGAGCAGCTGCAGACTCCTCCCTCTCCGTCTGGCTCGTGTCTTCTCAGACAGACAGGACATAAACACCCACACACAGAAACACCCATCCCTGCTTTCATTCTTTCCAGCACACTTTGATCCTAAGCGTGGAATAACAAAGCGCAGTGGTGGGACTCATTAAAAACAATAAGCACCCTCTAAGCTCCCAGAAAACCCTCAGACATGCTGTGAATTCAATAAGGGAAATTCACCTGGGGATTAAACACTGACTCATTCACAAGTATTATACATTAACAGGGAAACAAAAACCCTCTTTTCTATAGTATAGCTTACACATTATACGTAAAAAAGTGCTTCTAAATATAAATATGATGCAGGTACTGTATGAATCATCACAGAGGAGCCTATCCACGCTCGTTAAGTGGGTGCAAATTGAAGCTCACACACCTGAAACGGTATAAATGAGACCCTCTAATATTATATCCGAAGGACACAATTACTTCGATTGCTTCTCTCAGATATAATATGTACTTTGGCCACGTGCCACACTTTTTCAAAATCACATTTTGAGTCAAGAACAAACCAAGGGTAATGAAAACACAACCGGGCCAAGTGAGGAGGCAAATAGGAAATTATTCAATATTAAAAATGGATTTAAAATGGCATGCATGCTGCTAAGGGCCAGTTTGTATGTGCATACTTAGATAGTTAGGTGTCATTTAGCCTGGAAAAGTTCTGCAGCAGTGAGAATAAATAGCATTTTCATCAGGAAAGTAATAAGTTAAAGTCTAAGAGATTAAATGATGGCATTAGGCTTTATGGATTATGTAATTTATCCATCTTTTTATCCAAAGAGCTGCACTATAGGACACGTTTTGGCAAAAGCAAGAAGAAGTGGACGTGCACAAATCAATATATAAAATACTTTTGGATTTAAAATGGGCATTACAAGCCTTTCATCCTGAACTTAAGGACAATATGAGTTATGTGGTAATTAAATCTCACTATTGACTGTAAGGTATTTTTTATTAGCAGTTAGGATCAATACAATCAGGAGAGTATTGAATGAAGTCAAAGAGAAATGCATTAGGCTTTATGGATTATGTAATGTATCAATTTGCTTATCCAAACTGATGCACCAAACACACGTTTTGGCAAAAGCAATAAGCAAGGGACGTGATCATGCAATATTATATAAAGTAACTTTTGCATTGTTTGTTTCTGAGACAGCTGGGTTCAGCACAAAGTACAGAGTTAGATACTAAGCTGCTTAATTGATCAAATAGGGATATATTTAGACTAAAACTGGTTTAATTGCTTACCGAATTTCCTGTCAGCCAGGGCAGGTGAAGAGAGGCTGAGAGCCAGAAAAGAGAGCAGGAGAACGGGAGAGGAAAGTGAATCCATTCCTGAAGAAGATCCAGAGATCCGACCGCTAAACCTGCATGATGGAGGCCGACTCAGGTGAGCTCTGCTGGGGGAGAAACCGGCACTACAGAGGCATGGTTCTTCTGGAGGAGGAAGAAGAAGAAGGCGGAGAGGGGGAAATAAAGATGGCTAAAATGTGCAACACACACACTGACAGTACAGACGTTGTTTTTTCAGCACCACAAACAGCGACCAGCCGCACGAGGAGCCCCTCCTCAGCGATGACGTCAAACACACATGGTGATGCGTTCAGGGACACAACGATGTTACTGCACAGAAGACACATGGGGGAAAAACAGGACAAAATAGAGCAAGTCCACATTCATTTTCATTGGAGCAAAATAGATATGCTACTTTTAGAAAGTAAGTGAGAAAAATGTGCTATTAAGGGAAAGCTGTAGAAATATTTAACATCTTAGTACACATGTATATAACAGTAATATAGTCATTCTGTGGGGGTTTATTAATGTTTGGCTATTAGTGTAGGGATCTTTAGTTCACAGGTGTTACCCACAGACTGTAGGTGTTGTTAAAAAGCCTCAAACTTGACACACATGTTTTAAAAAAATTAAATATAAAACAAGGGTCAAAATATACGTCCAAAAAAAGTATGCTACAGTTAAATAAATTACAATTATGAGAAACACATGAAAATACATAGAAATATATAAAATGTTAGTCCACATTTAATTAAAATAACATATTATAGTCATTTTGTGGGGATTTACTATTAATATAAGGATTTATTTTAAGTAGAAGCAGACAGCAGGTGTTGTTACCAAGCCTAACACTTACCAAATATGTAAAAATGGAAATACTGGACCAACATTTTGCAAAATATATCACAGGAAGCCCTAATAGACAGACCTTAAGAAATAAATAATGAATCTGATTTCTGACGTCACACGACACAGTGATGCGTTCAGGGACTCATGGAAGAGGGTGGAGGGATGCACAGAAGCCTTGAAGGCAACACAAGGGAAACATTCTCATTGATTATCTTTCATTTTCGGTAAACATTTAAATAAAAAAACGTGTTATTATAGTCCTTATGTAGGGATGTTTAGCTTACTAGTGTTACCCACATACTGTAGGTGTTGTAACAAAGCATTAGACATCCTCAACATATGTAAACATTTAAAACATATCACTACAGGAAGGTCTGATTCATTGAAAGGCCTTATATAATCTGATTTGAAAGATGCATGGTGACGCGTTTATCGCTGCACAGAAGCCATGCAACACAGGAAGGATTTAAACGTCAAATTTAGAATTATGAGAATGCAGAACAAACAAATACATATTGGGAAAGCTATGGAAATCTATAAAATCCCTAAACACATTTTTATAAAACAACATCTCTTTGTGGAGATGTATTATTATTTTTGTAGGGATTTTTAATTCACAAGTAGACTGTGTTGTTACCAAGCATAACACTTACATATGTAGAAAATTAAAATGGATTGATTGGCAGACCTTAATACATTTGTTCTGACGTCAAACACACGGTGAGAAGGGACGATGCGTTCAGGGAACAAACTGACTGAATTATTACTGCACAGAAGCCCGAAGGCAACACAGGAAAAATAGAGGATTTAAACATAGACTACTGTTTTAAGTTTAGAGAAACACATGAAAACATATCAGAGCAACAACTTATGGGAAAGCTAAAGAAATGTAAAATATCAGTAACATTTTATATAAAACAACATGTTGTAATAGTCGAACCAAGCCTGTAACGTGACAAATACGAACAAATTAAAGAATAACAGCCAAATGATTGCACAATAAACATCTACTACATGCTTTAATGTTTAAAAAAGGTCTTTATTTTTATATGTTATGGGAATATTAAAATGTACAAACAAAGACAGCGTTCTAAATAATCTAGTTTATGTTTTTTGTAAACTTTCAAAGTGTAATTCCCTCTCGTTTGTCTTTGTCCACATCCCATATTTCTTCAGCGTAATATCCCTTTAAGAATACACCTGTCAATCATTGTCACGTGTCGCCATGACCACACATTCCGGGGCGGAGCTCAGAGTATGTGATGTCACCGTGACGTCATTGGGAGCGTTACCTTCTCAGAACGCGATGACATCACCGGGAGATGAAAGACTCAATTGCCTCGGAATGCGATGACATCATCATAGGCAGCAGATCAAAGGGAACGGAAGTAGTCCTAATCGCAGTCAAGTGGGTAAAACTGTTGGTATCAGGATCACTTTGGTTAGAGTTCAGTCTCCTAACTCACCTCTCATCTCCTCCACATTGCAACTTGCTTCTTCAGTGCAATAAAAGTGTAGTTCGTAGACTAAACTCAGGATGTCTTGGAGAAAGACCGTCCTCTCTTGGGTGTGCGCGGGCAAACGAACCACGTCCCCCGATATCGAGCAAACTCAGGGACCGACGAGCCTCCAGAGCGAGTTTCAGTCCGTGAGCGAGGAAACGGAGGCAATCAGGGAAAGTAACCGCGTCTTGTTTTCCCAAATTGAACAAGTCAACGTTGAGACGGCTCAGAACGAAGACCTGATGAACAGATTGAAGTTGGAAAGAGGTCAGCAACGAGGATTGACCGAGGTTAACAAACACCTTCAAAGTGTGCTTCGAGATTTGTGCAAACAGAAAACAAAAGATCCGGCGATCCTGCGAGAAAAACTTCAGGCGGCGCAGGAGGAGAAACAAAACCTCGAGCAACGCAACGACATCATGAGGCAGGAGATACTTCTTCTGGGGCAAAAAAGCCAGCACTACGACGACATGGAACACCAACTTGAAATAGTCAAAGTTGAGATGAAATCCATGATTGTTAAAAACAAAGCGCTCAGTGTCAACGTGCAGGAGCTTCTGAAGAAAGTCACTCTGCAGGACTGCCTGAGATCAAAGATGAACGAACAGAGAGAGAAGAACAACACCTGGACTCAGAGGAACATCGCTCTGGAACGAGAGGCGATGGAGATAACCGGGATAATAAGTGAAGACAGAAGGATGAGAGAGGAATCCTACGCCATAAGAGCGGAGAGAAACGCCCAGAAAAAGGAGAACCAAGTGCTGAAGAAGACGATTGTCGACCTGAGAGCGCAATCTCAAAGACAGAAACCTTTCCACGATATTTACAACGCCCTGAAAGCCGCCGTTGAAGCACAGGCCGAAGAGAAAGAAAACCTAATGCGTGATATCGACTTCTTCCACAAGGAGATCGAACGCAAGAACAAGCGACACGGAGACGTCCAGAGAATCAAACGTGAGAAATGCAAAATGGCGTTTGAGAACTCTCTTCTCCGCGTGGACTTCGAGGCGCTTTTCGTCAAACTGACGGCGAACGAAACGCGGACGAGGGACAGCGACTTCCTCACGACGGGAAAGGACACGGCGAGTCTTCTACGTGACGACGTGGCGCTGAAGCTGAGAGAGATGCAGGAGATCAGGGAGAGGATCGGAGCCATGGAGGAGGAGAGCGACGCTCTGCTGCTAGCTCACGCACAGGAACTCTGCAAGGAACGGCCGAAGATCGGACCGTGGACGATTCAGATCAACAGAGGCGCCAGGATGAGTCAACGCAGCTGGGCGTACGAAGTGTGTTAGAGGAGGGGCTTCAGCTCTAAAACTGGAAGTCCTCTTCTCTTTTAATCATGTCGGGTTTTCTCCGGGAACTCCGGTTCGCCCGCTTTCTTTATCTTCAAAAGAGATGAACGGAAAAATCACATGAGCCACTTTTTCCTTTCCAACGATTTTTCATTCAAATTTAAATAAATATGAAAAAGTATATCCTTGGTCCTGCTCCCCTCTGTGAGTTGGGCTTTCCCCACAGACTGTTATATTACATATGGAGGTAGAGAAGAGAGAAATAAATGTATGTCTTGATAATTTAACATTTAAAAAGATGTATTTGATGTAAGAAGACAAACTCATTTGACTCCCGGCGGCTCAGGAAGAAAGCCCTCAGGAATCAAAGATTTGCACTATTTTTTCTGTTCTTCGGTTTTATTGTGTTGGAGGACCGAAAGAACGAGATACAAGCGGTCGAGATGGGTTTTCTCCGCAGGGTGGCTGGCGTCTCCCTTAGGGATAAGGTGAGAAGTTCGGTCATCCGGGAGGGACTCGGAGTTGAACCGCTCCTCCTTCGCGTCGAAAGGAGCCAGTTGAGGTGGTTCGGGCACCTAGTAACGGCGCGTTCACACAGCGGCGTGCATTGAAGCTTGCCGGTGGGCGTGTCTGAAACTCGACCAACAACCAATCACATGAATCTCCCGCCCCTGACACACAAGCAGCGGTTTGATTGGCTAGAGCTTGTACTGGCATATGATTCGATTGGCTGACGCTTCTGCCGAGGCTTCAAAAGTTGAACATTGCTCAACTTTTGCAACGAGCCACGCCAGCAAAACTCCGCGTCGCTTCCCACAATGCAGTTCGGTGAAAAGTGACGTCACCCCATTCAAAGTGAATGGTGAAGCTTTCAACGCACGCCGCTGTGTGGGCCGTAAGGATGCCACCTGGGCGCCTCCCTAGGGAGGTGTTCCAGGCACGTCCAGCTGGGAGGAGACCGAGGGGTAGACCTAGGACCAGGTGGAGGGATTATATCTCTGCCTAGGACCAGGTGGAGGGATTATATCTCTGCCTAGGACCAGGTGGAGGGATTATATCTCTACCTAGGACCAGGTGGAGGGGTTATATCTCTGCCTAGGACCAGGTGGAGGGGTTATATCTCTGCCTCGGACAAGGTGGAGGGGTTATATCTCTACCTAGGACCAGGTGGAGGGGTTATATCTCTGCCTAGGACCAGGTGGAGGGATTATATCTCTGCCTCGGACCAGGTGGAGGGGTTATATCTCTACCTAGGACCAGGTGGAGGGGTTATATCTCTGCCTAGGACCAGGTGGAGGGATTATATCTCTGCCTCGGACAAGGTGGAGGGGTTATATCTCTGCCTCGGACAAGGTGGAGGGGTTATAACTCTACCTAGGACCAGGTGGAGGGGTTATAACTCTGCCTCGGACCAGGTGGAGGGATTATATCTCTACCTAGGACCAGGTGGAGGGGTTATATCTCTGCCTAGGACCAGGTGGAGGGGTTATATCTCTGCCTCGGACCAGGTGGAGGGGTTATATCTCTGCCTAGGACCAGGTGGAGGGGTTATAACTCTGCCTCGGACCAGGTGGAGGGGTTATATCTCTGCCTAGGACCAGGTGGAGGGGTTATAACTCTGCCTCGGACCAGGTGGAGGGATTATATCTCTGCCTAGGACCAGGTGGAGGGGTTATAACTCTGCCTCGGACCAGGTGGAGGGGTTATATCTCTGCCTAGGACCAGGTGGAGGGGTTATATCTCTGCCTAGGACCAGGTGGAGGGGTTATATCTCTGTCTAGGACCAGGTGGAGGGGTTATAACTCTGCCTCGGACCAGGTGGAGGGGTTATATCTCTACCTAGGACCAGGTGGAGGGATTATATCTCTGCCTCGGACCAGGTGGAGGGATTATATCTCTGCCTAGGACCAGGTGGAGGGGTTATATCTCTGCCTAGGACCAGGTGGAGGGGTTATAACTCTGCCTCGGACCAGGTGGAGGGGTTATAACTCTACCTAGGACCAGGTGGAGGGGTTATATCTCTACCTAGGACCAGGTGGAGGGATTATATCTCTGCCTCGGACCAGGTGGAGGGATTATATCTCTGCCTAGGACCAGGTGGAGGGGTTATATCTCTGCCTAGGACCAGGTGGAGGGGTTATAACTCTGCCTAGGACCAGGTGGAGGGGTTATAACTCTGCCTAGGACCAGGTGGAGGGATTATATCTCTACCTAGGACCAGGTGGAGGGGTTATATCTCTGCCTCGGACCAGGTGGAGGGGTTATAACTCTGCCTAGGACCAGGTGGAGGGGTTATATCTCTACCTAGGACCAGGTGGAGGGGTTATATCTCTGCCTCGGACCAGGTGGAGGGGTTATATCTCTGCCTAGGACCAGGTGGAGGAATTATATCTCTACCTAGGACCAGGTGGAGGGATTATATCTCTACCTAGGACCAGGTGGAGGGATTATATCTCTACCTAGGACCAGGTGGAGGGGTTATATCTCTACCTAGGACCAGGTGGAGGGGTTATATATCTGCCTAGGACCAGGTGGAGGGATCATATCTCTACCTAGGACCAGGTGGAGGGGTTATATCTCTACCTAGGACCAGGTGGAGGGGTTATATCTCTACCTAGGACCAGGTGGAGGGGTTATATCTCTACCTAGGACCAGGTGGAGGGGTTATATCTCTACCTAGGACCAGGTGGAGGGGTTATAACTCTGCCTAGGACCAGGTGGAGGGGTTATAACTCTGCCTAGGACCAGGTGGAGGGATTATATCTCTACCTAGGACCAGGTGGAGGGGTTATATCTCTGCCTCGGACCAGGTGGAGGGGTTATAACTCTGCCTAGGACCAGGTGGAGGGGTTATATCTCTACCTAGGACCAGGTGGAGGGGTTATATCTCTACCTAGGACCAGGTGGAGGGGTTATATCTCTACCTAGGACCAGGTGGAGGGGTTATAACTCTGCCTAGGACCAGGTGGAGGGGTTATAACTCTGCCTAGGACCAGGTGGAGGGGTTATATCTCTACCTAGGACCAGGTGGAGGGGTTATATCTCTGCCTCGGACCAGGTGGAGGGGTTATATCTCTGCCTAGGACCAGGTGGAGGGATTATATCTCTACCTAGGACCAGGTGGAGGGATTATATCTCTACCTAGGACCAGGTGGAGGGATTATATCTCTACCTAGGACCAGGTGGAGGGGTTATATATCTGCCTAGGACCAGGTGGAGGGATCATATCTCTACCTAGGACCAGGTGGAGGGGTTATATCTCTACCTAGGACCAGGTGGAGGGGTTATATCTCTACCTAGGACCAGGTGGAGGGGTTATATCTCTGCCTAGGACCAGGTGGAGGGATTATATCTCTGATGAAGGCCTTCTAACAACACCCCCTCTTAACACTTTTTTGGTTTTCACATTTTCTATTTTGGCCTTCACATCCCCTTTCCCCACATACGGTTCAACCCCACTCTCCTTTACTATAACATTCTCACTCTCAATCCCTTGTAACCCCTCACCCGGCATTCCAACTTACGTTTTCTCAAGCAAACTTTCAGCTGTCCCTAAACGCATCATCTCATTTCCCTAACCTCATCAACTATCACCTGTGCCCTCATGAAGCCGGGTACCCTCCTCATCCACTGCTCATGAGTGAGTTAAGGAAGAGTGGCTGCTCCCACACCTTCACACCTAACAACTTTCAAAAACTCGGCCCATGCACTCATGACCTCCCTTTGATAAGCACTCAAACCATTCCCCTTTTTAAGTACCATCAAAATGGCACTTTCACCGCACCCTCCACATTTATTTATTTTTTCAGTTAAGATCTTCCATAACTGATCTTTATTTCGCAAGAAGCATAACATCATTTGTATTCTTTTTATTTTATTCTTTATTTTTAGATTAAAAAAAACAACTTCTCACTACCGGTACTCACATCCACGTTTCTTCCCAACCCCAGGCTCCAGAATTATTCCCGCGTAATACATGTGTGCCCTTCTTCCACGTAATGGAGCTGATATAACAGCTACTAGTCAGAAAACAGTGCGCGATGGCAAAGAATCCATATTTACACTAATTAGCTTAACAGTTGGTCCTGGATATGATTCCAGTCTTTTTCCCAGGGCTTTATTGTCGCTGAATAGCTGAGGGTTTCTGTCGGGGGCTCGTCGATCTGTCAGGGGCTCGTCGATCTGTCGGGGGCGCGTCGATCTGTCGGGGGCTCGTCGATCTGTCGGGGGCACGTCGATCTGTCGGGGGCGCGACGACGGCTGCTGTCGGGGGCACGTCGATGACTTCTGTCGGGGGGCACGTCGATGACCTCTGTCGGGGGCGTGACGACGGCTGCTGTCGGGGGGCACGTCGATGACTTCTGTTGGGGGCACGTCGATGACTTCTGTTGGGGGCACGTCGATGACTTCTGTCGGGGGCAGGACCTCCCCTCCCCCCCCTAACGTTGCTAATAAAATGCTGTATTTATAAAACAATTGCATAGGAAAGCTGCATTTAAAAAAGTTACCCAACACTGCCTGGCTGTGGATGTTGAATGATACGTCAGTTTGAATGTTGACCAGTCTTGTTCTTGTGAACATTGTGATGGTGGATGATATTCCTCATCAGGAACAGATGGGTTGTCGGTAAAGCCATGTTTAGGAAGTAATTGTTTTTTTTCATTCTTGCATACAGCTGTTCTGCTACTTGATTATTTAGTTTCCCAGCAAGTTGCGGGACCAGGCTAAGCCTCCGCAGGGCATCGCGGGCGTCCTTTGTGTTGTCCTCATGGAATCGGTCATACAGAGCATAATGCTCAGCTGAGCCGGTTATAGGGTGGCATTCAGGGTCTGGGGCCAGCTTCTTGCAGTCCAGCCAAGGCAGTGACACCTTCAGTTTTCCCTCTTTGGCTCGTGTGATGTTATCTGGAGTTGGCGCCATTAACCGTCCATCAAATGGTGTGAAGGGCAACTTTTCTGGTTCTCTGAGATTCATGTGTGTCGCTAGTCCACGTGCAAAGTCATATATGACAATATTTGGCATGTGTTTCCAAGAGAGCAGGATGTCTGTGAAGTCACGAGGGCTTTCCGCTCGAAAGTTACACTTAATACTGTATACGATGCCGCACGGGCACATAATCACAGCCCAACCGCCTGAGATGAGAAGAAGACAAAGAAAGCAGATTGTAAAAAGACAGCCTCAGTGTATCCTGATAAAAAGGTTTGATATGAGATCACATTAAACAATAATCCAAAAATAAGACCCCCACTTTACGAAACCGGTAGCTCCCACATTGAGCTTACCTGAGGCCGCCCAAATCTTTTGAAAAACCTTGTCGTAGGTTTGTCTTGACTTCATTTCGTCGGACAATCTCAGGAGGAGGTCAGAGCGCGATCCAGAGGAATCCAACCCACACTCCCTGCATAACGTCCGCACCACTTCAACCTATCAAGACATGACATGTGTGAGGTGCCGCATGTTTACCGGGAACATAACGGCCTGTAAACCTCTCCTAACGAGAAAGGTATAATAAATAGTGTCTTTACCTTCTGCTTGTACAGTTCCTCTCTCAGTCGCTCTTCTGTGACGGTTACTTCCTGGACCTCAGCTGGTTTCTGTGGACGGACTTTTGCAAACTCTGTGTTGAGGACATGGTTTGAGCGGCGTGTATTTTTGCCTATCCACGGTGCCCAAAAGTGGAAAGTGGGTGGTACTGCAAATGGATTTTTTTGCTGACCTTTGGAGATATCAAAACACAAATATATCAATACATCTTGGAGTTGAAGTTAAGTGACATCTTGATAAATGTGAACAGGTTATGGATCTATCTCCATGTGTTTGTTCTTCACACAATTCTGCAGTTGTTTTAACATAAAGACACAATTCGCACGAGGTACAGGAACTGCTAAACCATAACTGTTTATATTCAATTTATGAATTTGTGTATGTACATATGTGTATATATATATATAAATATATAGAGACCATTCTCCTAACTTGCCTGTATATATTAAATGAATGATTATATACATTATTCAAGGTTAAAGTATACATTGATGTTAACATATATTAAGATGTAAAAAGAAAAAAGGGAGAAGGGGTCGGATTAGCTAAAGCTTTATTGTTTATTGATATCAGACGATGATACTACAGATTATTCAATTATTAATTAAATGTTTTGTTATTGCATTCTGTATACTGTATCATGTCTGCATCATCTTTTGTTTCATTTGTATTTTCTTTGGTTTTACACGCTCGAAATAACTAAACTAAACATGTTTATGAATTGCTCGTTAATCTTGCATTACTTGTTACAAATCCTCGACCGATCCTTTCCATTGAAAGTGCGTCCCAAAAGCATTCCATATCAACCTCTCCATTGAAGTCCACCGGAGGTTGTTCCAGGTCACTTACTAAAGAAATGGCGTAAAACATTACAAGAAAAGTGAATTCAGGGAGTTGTGCAGTCGTCTGATCGAAACCAGTCTGTTGCATGAAAGCATTCTCACCCGACCAATGGAAGGCCGCCTTCCTATGGAGGTCCATGATGACCACTGGGGGATGATCACCACAGCTCACACAAGAATACTGGTAATCATGTTCTGTAAGGGCTTCGAAGTGAAGATACCCCTGAAGAACTGTATCAGCTGCGGGGAACTGCTCTCCTGAAGTCAATTCCAAATACTCCACCACTCTGCTCACTGAAGTATGGACCTGAGAGAGAAAAAAAATACATGTGCTGTCAAATTTCAGTTGTACATTTACCAAATACAAATGATGAATTCATAGATTACACTTCTAGTAAACTAGATTAGGAATTACCTGAAGCATGTTCCTTATGGTTAGGCATAAAGGGAGATCTAGGAGTATCCGGTCATTAAAATTGTGAATGCCGTCTTTCCACTCTTGGTACCGGTAGTGGGCTCCACATTGATGGCAAGATTTACAGTAGGTAGAAACATCTGGAAATCAAAAGATCAGTTCAACACATTGAATGATTACTGGAAGCAGAACAAATTGATTGTTCGACATCATTGACCTACCGTTAACAACCCGTGACTTGGTGAGGATTTTGGCCTCATGTGTGATGAGGACTGGGTCACTCAAGGGCACGTTGCCTGGGCAGTGCTGGCACATCCTCTCCTCTGGAATGAGGTGCCTTGGATATTGCACTTCCACTGATGGAAGGCGCAAGTGTTCTGGCAGAACAGCAGGTAACTTTTTGTGACTCAGAATATATTGGGCCATGCCTTTCAATTTTTGGACACTGTTTGGTGGATATGGTATATCACCCAGATCAGCCTCATCATGACTGTGTTGGTCCTCTGCTGCACTCAGGCCGTCCACCTCCTCTGTGCTTCTGACTTTCCTGAACAGTTCACGGTGTGTCTGAAATAAGTGCCATTTTGCAATGTATTTGTGTGGGCATGATATCTTAGTCTTTGCACAAGGACAGTGCCACACATTCTTCTTTGTGTCGTACGACACCATGACTCTTCCCAATCGACTGTAATATGAAACCGTAGGCTCATATACAGATATATATTCTGTTGTCTTCGGGGTTCCAGCTTTCGAGTACACAGATAAAGGGAAGTGGTTACATTTGGCAAGGTTTTGCCGAACGAGGCAGAGGCTCTTTGTCTCTTCACCAAACCATTTGTTGTTCACCATCTCCGTTAGAGTTTCTTCCTCAAGCTCAGCAGGGGAGGCATAGGATGAACAGTAGCTTATGGATTTTAAATGTGTACATTGATAGGCTTTAATTCCACTCCTCCAAGCCAACTCCAGGTTCACCTGGCACTCATTGTTTTCACAAGAGACATACTGATTTTCTCCCCACACTTTATTCTGAACATGCAGAGGAGCACTTGTTCCATGGAAGGCTTTGTGGACAGCATAGACTCCATGTCCAGAATCTATGCATTCAATCTGTAGCTGTGAGCCTGAGGTTATGTCCTTTGTTTGGCAGAGTGCTTTCTCTTTCCATGTGCATTTTCAATTTGGTTTTACTTATGAGAACATGGCATATGGGACATTTCTTTCTTCAGTACAGGCACCACACGGACCCGTTGCATATTTCCCTCTGGGATGATGGGGGTCGATGGATCTGAGATGATGGGGGTCGATGGATCTGAGATGATGGGGGTCGATGGATCTGGGATGATGGGGGTCGATGGATCTGAGATGATGGGGGTCGATGGATCTGGGATGATGGGGGTCGATGGATCTGGGATGATGGGGGTCGATGGATCTGAGATGATGGGGGTCGATGGATCTGGGATGATGGGGGTCGATGGATCTGGGATGATGGGGGTCGATGGATCTGGGATGATGGGGGTCGATGGATCTGAGATGATGGGGGTCGATGGATCTGGGATGATGGGGGTCGATGGATCTGGGATGATGGGGGTCGATGGATCTGGGATGATGGGGGTCGATGGATCTGGGATGATGGGGGGTCGATGGATCTGAGATGATGGGGGTCGATGGATCTGGGATGATGGGGGTCGATGGATCTGAGATGATGGGGGTCGATGGATCTGGGATGATGGGGGTCGATGGATCTGGGATGATGGGGGTCGATGGATCTGGATGATGGGGGTCGATGGATCTGGGATGATGGGGGTCGTTGGATCTGGGATGATGGGGGTCGATGGATCTGGGATGATGGGGGTTGATGGATCTGAGATGATGGGGGGTCGATGGATCTGGGATGATGGGGGTCGATGGATCTGGGATGATGGGGGTCGATGGATCTGGGATGATGGGGGTCGATGGATCTGGGATGATGGGGGTCGATGGATCTGGGATGATGGGGGTCGATGGATCTGGGATGATGGGGGTCGATGGATCTGGGATGGGGGTTATGGCAGATATCTTCGCCTTGCCCAAAGCCAGGTGTTTGAGGAAGTCTGCTTTGCGCATCAGCGTTGCTTGGCAGTAGAAGCAGTGGAAATGCCATTCCGGTCGGCAATGTAACGCACATCTGTGAATGGTATACCCTTAAACATAAGAACATAGAATTGTAGTATTATTATTTTATGATCATATTATTTTAAAATGTAAATTATGAATACCAAGAATCAAGTAACTGGTCACCACAAACAAATCAGAGAGGGACTTCTTTTGATGTATTGCTCAAATGGAACTGATCATAACATTCAGGCTGCTTGTAATGCAGACACATTGCAACCCCATTTGCATTTCACAAGAGAACGTTTACGTTACCTTCATGGAGAACTGCACGGTTGAAGTGGCTCTCTAGATGGGCTTTGACCTTGCTCAGTTTGGCGGACTGGAACACATTTGAGGCACAGAACGGGCAGTGGAAGTCTTCGCAACACGTCGTACATCGCTGTAAGTCGGGCAAGGATCTCCCCTCTCGGATTGTAATATGCATCTTGAAAAAGAGAGAGAGCCTAATTGGTCAAACTGAACATTTTGAAATCATTTCACAGACAGACATAAATTAGGCCTAATTGTTAGATTCTGACAAGTGGTGATTCAAATAGTAATACAATGACTATTAAAGAAGCATTTGAACTGACAACAGAACTGAGGCTAATGTAATGTAACGTAGCGGACAGACGGATCATATTGACATGCGTTTGTCATCCTTTGAAGTTTAATTAATTAGCTGAGGATTAATGATCAGGAAGCCGTGTATCTACGGTCCATTTGTAAATAATAAGTAAACGGCAGAGCGTCCGAGAGGCCTTTTTGCTTTTTACCTTACTAAATGGTGTTTGGAGCGGGGGGGGGGGGGGGGGGGGGCGAGACTCACGGAAGTGATTTCAAAACAAAAGCACTCGTTTGCTAAATCACACTTTGAAGCACTCCAGTATCCGGCTGAAGGAACGGTGATAATTATAAACAAGGGGAATTTAGCGATCACAACGAAAACAGCGCAGACACACATTAGGCGCGTTCCCACCGCAGTACTTTTCCCACTTTAGTTCCGAAATGTTGCGTTCACACCAAAATTAGTTAATGAGAACCTTTTCATCCCCTTTTTACCCCCTGCTAGAGAGCAGGGACTTTCGTGGGAGAAAAAGGTTCCTATGTCTGATTGGCTGGGCGGATTGCAAACCACGCCCCGTAAAACTACCAAAAAGTTTTTTGAAGCCGCCATTTTATTATCCTGCATTAGCATTAGCATTATTAGCATTAGCCCAGCGCAGAAACGCAGAGAGACTAATTTATGGCAACACAAAAGAAAACATGGGAGCGGTGGAGATGAGGAGGTGTCGGCGTTCTGGCGATTTACTCGGAAGGCTTCAGTAGAAGCTGCTGGGACTGCCAGCAGCTTCTACTGAAGCCAGTCCCCAACTCCGGGGACTTCCGGCCGGGGACTTTGGGTGGCAGTATACGCCGTGAAGTGGTTTGCGGCCTGCCAGTAAACCCAAAGCAGAAGAAGAAGAAGTGACGTCAGCGGCTTCATTTGCCTAATCCTCCCTCAGGGACTTATTCCGGTGTGAACGCGATTTGTACTTAGTTCATGAGAACTAAAGAGTTCTCATGAAATAAGTTCTCATGAACCTTTGTGGGGAAAGTACTGCGGTGTGAATGCGCCTATTGAGGCCAGAAAATGGATGTTATTAAGGCTGTAAATATAACAAGCCTGCGCAGTGGCGGTTCTAGAACATTTTACATGGGGGGGCAAAGAGGAGGCAAGAGGTCATGCCAGGGCAGAGTCCTGCACGGGTCTGATTTTCAAGACCCGCTCCCGTCCCGCACCCGCGACGTGCAATACCGAACCCGCCCCGCTACCCGCACATATTGCCAATTAGTTCCGCAACCCGACCGGACCCGTCGGCACAAGATCCGCAACCCGACCCGAACCCGCATAGCCTATGAGCAGTGAAAACGTGCAATTATTAACACACGCAGTTGCATATTTGTCTCAAAAAGCGTGGGATGTTGGTTCTTTCCTCATCTACTGTAGGAACCAGAAGCCTCCAGACGCTAGATTTCGCTCTTGAGGAAGTGTTATTGAAAATGCTGTATCCTCCGCTAGAGAGCTTCACCTCAGCCATTTTGAATGTGGCGCGCACAGCAGCAGATTGATGCGCTGCAGAGGTTATGATTATGTGCGGTCCCGCGGGGGAGAGGTCTGAGGATTTTAAACATTAAACTAAATTATTAGGGCCCGAGCACGAGAGTGCTAGGACCCCAACGGCGTCCTAGCACGAAGTGCAAGGATACCTATTGTTATTCGTGGAATTATTCTTATTTTTCTGCTGGCGTTTCCTGTTTTTGAGGCCTTTAGGACGCTGAAAAAGTTGTATAATTTTGCACAGATTCCAGAATCGGTGAAAACTACAATATTCTGGACTCAATGTGTTCAAATTGTCCAACATGCTCTCTAGCGCCACCTATGGCCATTTCCGTTTTTGGAAAGATGTACAAAGTCGCACCGTAACTCCAAATGACCTGAAATTTTTCACACTTACTCGGGTGGACCTGCTCTACATATAAGGTCCAAGTACCCGTAAGCTCCGCCTACTTTATTTTTTTTTAAATTAGCATAATTTGAAAAACAGTTAAATATTCACTTAAATTTCAAATTTTGGTTTTTCAACACCAAACTCAGTATACAGTATCGCCGGAGGGTCAGACACATTATCGTAGGAAATGAGCATGTTCAGTCGATAAATGTGGCCCTCATTACTCTAAACGTGTTCGCAAAAAGGCGGGGCTTAGATAGAAATGCTCATAACTCATCAACAATGTACAAAAAAAAACACACATTTTGGTGGTAATGTTCAATCTGTATTGGGGAATAGGCACAACAAGTAATTTCCATTTTGGACTATAGGGGGCGCCAAAAACATGACAAATGTATAACTCATGAACTGATGGACGAAATCTATATATTTTTTTTTATACATACTCTGGGGATGAGTATGGACTTATATTTAAAGTGTCACAACGAATGACAAATGTGGGCGTGGCCTGTACTTTTTTTTTTATGACGATGAGCTAAAATGGTTTTCGTTACGCAAAAATTGGTACACGAGTCACAGCCCACGACCTTTTCCATAATGTAAAAAAAAAAACGTACATTTTCAAAAAAACTGCTCACTAGCGCCCCCTATTGTGTGGTAGTCGCATATAGTTTCTCAGAACTTCACGAATGTTGGCACAGATATTCCTCATGGAATTGCGGACATATTTGTACATACATTCCATTAGCCCCGCCCCCCAAAAAGTCGGCCATTTTGAAATATGTGCGTTTTTTATGCATTTTAAGCACATTCGTGCGGATTCCTCCTAGGGGAATGATCGGAAAAATTCCAATCCAGGACACGTTCAGCCCCTATCCAATATGATACTTAATGGAGAAGAACATTTTTGATAGCTCAATCGTGGAGGTCGTAAGCTAACAGCGAATACACCATTGTTGACGATTTACATGTCGCAAATTACTCCAAATTACTCGGATATAGTTAATCCGATATTCACGAAACGCTGTATACATATTGCTATTATGATTGCACACATATTTCAAATTGCCTTTCATTAGCCCCGCCCCCCAGAAAGTCGGCCATCTTTTAAAATGTGCGGTTTTCAACCATTTTACGCACGTTCTTGCGAACTCCTCCTAGGGGAATGATCGGAAAAAATCCAATCCAGGACAAGTTCAGCCCATTTCCAATGTGATGCTAAATTGCGAAGGAATAGTTGATCGCTCAAACGACGACTTCGTAAGCGAACGGAGAACTTTCCATTTTTGACGATTTACATGTCACAAATTACTCCAAATACTCGCGTATACTTTTTCCAATATTCAGGAAACGCTGTATACATATTACTATTATGATTGCACACATATTTCAAATTGCCTTCCATTAGCCCCGCCCCCCAGAAACTCGGCCATTTTGAAAAATGTGCGTTTTTCAGCCATTTTACGCACGTTCTTGCAAACTCCTCCTAGGGGAATGATCAGAAAAATTCCAATGCAGGACAGGTTTAGCCCCTATCCAATAGAATACTTAATTCAGGAGCACATTTTTGAAAAATTACTCGTGGAGGTCGTAGGCTAACAGCGAATACACCATTTTTGACTATTCACATGGCGCAAATTGCTCCAAACTGGTCGCATATAGTTTTTCCGATATTCACGAAACGCTGTATACATATTGCTATTATGATTGCACACATATTTCAAATTGCCTTCCATTAGCCCCGCCCACCAGAAAGTCGGCCATTTTGAAAATTGGCCGTTTTTCATGCATTTTAAGGACATTTCTGTAAACTCCTCATAGGGGAATGATCGGAACAATTCCAATCCAGGACAACTTCAGCGCATATCCAATATGATGCTAAATTGAGAAGAACATTTTTTAAAGCTCAATCGTGGAGGTCGTAAGCTAACAGCGAATACACCATTTATTACGATTTACATGTCACAAATTACTCCAAATTACTCCAAACTACTCGCGTATACTTTTTCCAATATTCACGAAACGCTGTATACATATTGCTATTATGATTGCACACATATTTCAAATTGCCTTCCATTAGCCCCGCCCACCAGAAAGTCGGCCATTTATAAAAATGGCCGTTTTTTCATGCATTTTAAGGACATTTCTGCAAACTCCTCATAGGGGAATGATCGGAACAATTCCAATCCAGGACAACTTCAGCGCATATCCAATGTCATGCTACATTGAGAAGGAATAGTCCTTCGCTCAAACGGGGAGCTCGTAGGCTAACGGAGAATGTACCATTTTTGACCAATTATATGTCAGATAAGCTACTGAGCCCTGCCTGTCTGCCTGGCACATCAACTCTCAAACGCACACACACACCTACTGTTAGTCCAACAACGCCCTTTGCTGGCGGCATATTCATTACAAAAGACACTCGCTAAACCTAACCCTAACCCTAACCCTAACCCTAACCCTAATGTTTATTTGTAGATATCTCCTAAAGCCTACAAATAAAGTGTGACATGTAGGCCTGTTACATTTGTTAGTGAGCGATATATATTATACACACTGTTCTGCTTTCTGCACTGACCTCAGCAGCTGTTCTCACTGTAACATCACCTAACATCCAGGGGACATGTGATTAGTGAGTAAACAAACGGTAAAGGGCAGAAAGTCTGATGCACATTTGATCATCTCAAATCACTTATAATCACAACGGGAACAGTTTGCAGAGCTGTGCTTCATTTCACAGAGGTCCAGCCATGCGTCACGCCTCTTTTAAACATCACTGTTGGCTGAAATCGTCTCAGGAGAATACTTCAGTGTACCCTCGGTTATAGCTCCTCCAGAGACACTCCTCTCTCCTCTAAATCAGTGTATCCTCGGTTACGGCTCCTCCAGACAGCCTCCTCGATAATCGATCCTCGACGACCCTTTAGAGAAAATTTTTTTCCTTCGACATCCG